TGCACAAATAACTATTGTTGAGTTAAACATTCATATTATCTTATTTATAACAAGAATGCGTTTCCTTTAATTTTATTCGTTCGATCATTTACTAGAGGCTAAATAATTACAGAATCCTATTAATAGGCAAGCATGTTTCTTGAAAACCTTTCTTTCTCAGCTCGTGTGCATCGCAGGGAAAATCCACGCATACAGATAGAATATACTTTCCTCTTGATGTGCAGAATCCCTTCATAAATTAAAATAAGTTCAAAAATGAGCACAAAAAATGAATTTAAACTTAAAAAAATACATGGGCCTTATAGGTTATTATGCTGGTGACGAAATAACAACGAAATATAAATAGAAAGTTAAAACAAAATTGAAGAAATTCCAATCTCATGTTTTATTTACAGCGTGGGGTCAAAATAGAGAAGTCTGTACTACATGAAATATTTTTGGCCGAGTTTTCGAACACTGGACTACATAAAGAATAGAGAGTAGGCCTAAGTGTAAATACATTGAGTGGTGTAAGAAGACTTTTAAAAATTTCATTAGTAGGCTACCATTTTTATTTCGTCAGTTCGTTCAGACGAAACAAACTTGGAACAATTGCGCTGCAACAGTCTGGAAATACGTAGAAGCGTAAGTGCAGAATGATTTATTGATAGGGTTGGCGTTGTGCTGTTTGTAAGAGGGACCGAAATATACTAGGTTCGATGCCAACATACGCTTCTCAGATATCAAAGATATTACTCATATACCGCCATTTTAGTGCTTATTGTGAGTTGGGTAAATAAATTGTCAATTTTTTTTGTTTATACTGTGACGAGGCTATAAGTATGTATACAAATAGTAATTCACCAAAAAATATATTCCTGGATTCCTGGAATTTTTGAACAACTCTAAAAAATACAAATAAACACGGCAATCTCTATTTTTGTAGAACTGTTAAAAAACCTGCGAGGGATCCCGTACCACATATTATTTATTGCGGTTTTAAACTTTATTTGACGTAAAAATGGGTCAAAATAATCAAGGTATTCCTGAAGGCATAGTTCGAAAATAAATTTCTCCATGAGCGGATGTATCCTAAGATAGTTACTTTCGTAATGTCTCCTCATTACAATACAATCATTGGACAGACACTTAATTCGAAACATGCACTTAAATGCTAATACTGTATTTGCCACTTTAGGTAATTGCGTGTCATGTAATGAGTTTTGCCAGAGAAGCTACGTAGTTACTTCGAGGGGAATTTAGATTTCATATCGTGTTCTACAAAGGTAACTCATAGGCACTCAATTCACCTCATTTTGGGCTTAAAAATTGTGATTTCTCAACTACTTGGGCCTATTATTCTATGTAATTGAACTTAGTGTTGTTTGATATCAAATTTTAAATGAAAATGGTACTGTCCATTGCATTTTTTTATTAAGTTTACCAATTTTAAGTCATTAGTTTACTAACAATATAATGTCAATGAATATTTTTTCTCGAATAGCTCACGCCACTTTTAAGTCGTATTCCGAATTTCACTAGTATATCTTAAATTGTGTTCAATAAATGAATTTAAAACTCACACAAGAAATTTTGGATATCTCGATAACAACTCGATATAAAAATGGATAACATTTTAAGTGCAATCGGTATTTTGCAATGGTTTCGTATATTTTCATTTTCTTTGAACCTCTCGTGCTATAAGAACTTTCTGTTATTTTCTTTGAGTATTTGTAGGCCTACTTTTACCGTATCAACATGAAAGGATCCCATTTTCAGAGAGTGTAGTTTGCAACTGGTTTGTCTGCTCATATTAGTTACACGCATCACACACACTACACGCACACAAAAGTAATTAACGTTGTATGTTTCTGTGAAGCTATATTGCTTTTGCCTCACAAAACACGCGTTTGAAGTTTACAACCTGTTTACTAGCTGTAGCTGATTTTATTCCTTTTCGCTCATGTAACAAGGGTGAAATAACTGGAAATACACAGCAGAAGGTCGACTTAGACATCTGATGGATTTAAAAGGCTAATAATGTGATCCAAAAGTATCATTTAAGTCAGAGTTTGTATTATTTCCGTCTCCAAAAAGTGTTGTTTTCATTTTGGTTCCAATGCACACCCAGTGTAGCGTTATCAGTCAAGTTTGGAATTGTAAACTCCATAATCATCACTGGAGTGTTTGTACAGGTGACTCTCAACTCCATAGTTACATCACGGAGGGTTTATTGTTCTGTAATAATTCCTATATCTGACAAGTGGAGACACTAGTATGAGAAGGCATCATTTAAATGGAAGACTTGATATTTTTGAGGACGTTTATTACTGAATAGGATCAGCTGCGTCCATTGTTGAACCATCAAAAAGGTTTCGACTTTTCTCAGGATCGAACCGACGACCGTCAACCGAACCACCAGCTCAGCTACTAAGCAATATTAATCCACCCACATAGAACCCTTCTGAAGTACCATCACAGGATTTACCTTGGTAAAACTAATTCTAAATACATATAGTTTGGGCTCGTATTGTAATTATTTTTTTATACTAATTCCAATAAAATGAAAAGCGCGCGAGTTTCACAAAGGGAGAGCGAAAATAACCACATCAATTACTAAATGTTACTTTGCTATGACCATTAGTCAGTAAAATACAAAGAAAAGAACGAACACTATGGAGATAATGTTGCTGGGGACAATCCATAACTTCTAACAACTTCGTGACAGAAATTGACTGATAGTTCGGTGTTGAGTTTTAGTGTTACGGAAGGAGCTCCATTAAATTCCACTTGATGTACAGCAACGTCAGCAACCCTTTAAAACACAGAGGAAACTCTAAACATTTTACCTTGTATTGAATTCAAAATACAAATTTTAAGCTAATAGATACAACTGAGGTAGCACCGAATGAGAGAATTGCGAGACGTTCCCTATCTAGGAGGCAAGGTATGTTGTACCATTGACTACTGTATACTGATATCGTAGCCTATCAATAGTCAAAGGTAAATTGACTATTTTTTTACTTAGTATATTTGAACTAGGGGGTTGTGAGCTGATGAGCTGATTCCCCTAGTTGGTAACAACCTAAAATCATTTTACTCTATTTTCTAGCAGAGTTGCCGGGTCAATGATGCCTCCAAGTCGTATTTCTAGCTTAGTGAAAAAATCCAATGATCGTGAACCGCTTTTACAGCATTAAATGAGCAAATAACTTTCACAAAATAAATGGAAAAATAAAATCAAATGCCAGCAGCTTGATATGTGCTTTATTGAACGGAATAGGCGAGTGGCGTCTGCAAAACCGTTTACATATCTTCTAGCTATGTAACAATCGGTGTAGCAATAATTATAATTCTAACTATCTAAGTCCATGCACCCTTTGGGTAACCGCAGCCAGGCTCTGTGGTGTGTGGGTGTGCGGGTACGTTGTCAACAGTTGAATTAAAGCAGTAAGCGAGTAAGCTACCATCCCTGCTACCAGCGTACGTTTCGGCTTTCCTGTGTGTACTGCACGTCTCTAGGATCGAGGATAAGCGAGGAGAATGTCCGTGCTTGTTATATTATGTATTTTGTAAACGAACTCCACGACCCGCTAAGCGCTCTGCGGTGACACACAGACAATTGCCTCCCTGTCTTCACCTAGTGGAACGGTCGTCTCGGGTGTCGGTAATTTATTCTGTCACGTTTCTGTGTATCTCTTTCTCTCTCCCTATTTCCTCCTTCATTATGTCCGTGCTTGTTTCTATACAACAGGTAAATCTTGATAATGAAATTGCGGACAAAACTTCCGATTTTGTTTGTAAGCGTAAAAAGTAAAAAAAAAAAAAATGCGGTTGTGTATAAGTGGATATACACTGTAAAATGTGCATAAAAACAGAACGCATTTAGTCTACATTAGGGAAACAATACAGATCAAGACATAGTCATTTAAGACTGGATTTATAGTTAGTTTAGTCAATGATGCCAGATAAGAGATACTTAGGCCTAACTGTTAGTTAGTTTTCCTGTCTAATGAAAATGGCGTGACAGCTAGCATAATTCATACCTAATTGTTCTTAAAAAATACATATGAAAAACATTTGCTGATAAGGAATCAGGAGTATGCCCCCTCTGAATCAAACAGTCGGATCGAGAAAGTAAAGGATATGAGTAAAAGTGGTTTGGTAGACAAGAAAGTCGTTCTGTCCGTAGACTATAAGTAAATCGCTAGAATTTGCAGATGCGTGGCTAGGATGTAGAAGAGAGGATGAAATCTATTTCTTATATGTCCGTCTCTCGATGTAGTTACTTATGAAAGGTTTACATATGAAAATCTTCATTGTTGACAATACGCAAAGACTTTCAAAAGATACAATGCCTTACTATCGAATTCTTTCAAGTTCCCGTTGTTGATCAGGCATTCCACCTCAATCCCTCCTTGTGTAATCTTTTTTGGGGTTTATGTCCTGATGTTCTAATCGTAGTTCCTACTCGATCAAAATTTAAGTTTTAATGTACTTGCTTATACTGTATTTTTTCCAAAGAGATCATCAAAAAGGTAATTTTCCCCCCTTAAAATTGAGACCCTTATTGTTCGATGACTTGAAACATAGCCTCCAGGATGCTATGCATGAAACTTGAAAATAAGACGTCATCGTGACTAATCCATGTGTGTAAAATTCTGACACCCCGTTCGTACTACAGAATGTAGGGCCTACTACGGTACTCTACTATGTACTATGTGTATTCTTTACTATAGAATGAGTTAAGAGGTAGTTTAGAGTGTCTTTAGTACTGGCCGAATTTTACATAATCTTTTCCAACCCTTAAATTTATTTTTCCTTTGCGTACACATTGAGATTCAATCCTCCATATTCAAATCTCTTCCCGCTTACCACTCACAAAAACCCTACATTTGCAAGCTTGGCCAACCCTTATCAATTATAAATGTTCCGTGTTAATAACGCAGCTATTGTGTAGTCAAGGACGTGAGATCTTTGTTGTCTGTTGATGTTGATTGTTGTGTTTTTGTTGGTTTCAGAGGCGTTCCTACATGTGAGGGACAACATGGATGGTCTGGACGCCAACGAAACGGACCTGCTGTTCCTGCGCCAGCTGCTGGACAACACCGTGCTGAGAAACCTAGTGCAGGTACTGGCTTTCCCACAATAGTTATTTGTGTAACTAGTGGTGAAAGTGGCACTTTGCTGCACACGAGAGCAATGTTTACGCACGAGCCGCAGGCGAGTGCGGAATGATCTCGAGTGCAGCAAAGGCCTTTTTCACTCGTGTTACACATTATATTTTTCCTACAGTCACTATAAAACATAAATAATTAGTCTTTCAAACACTATACAACACGTTTTTAGGTTCAGCTAGCAACACAATTACACAAATGGTGCCCTGGAGAAAGTAGTACCCGTGGTCCGTATCACTCCGCTATTTTTCCTCGGCAAGAAATGTGCTCCGTCTTTTGAGAATATAGTTCCGTATGTTTTTGTAATTTGAAGTGGTTTCCGCGCCTAAAAAACTGCTTTAAAGGTATTTTCTTGTTTATTAAGACCGTAGGAATGTTTTAAAAACGTTTAAAAGAAAAGTCCAGAAAGTTCAGAAATACCAAAACTATAAACACGAAATGACAGGTTAAATCGTAGTTATAATAGTCAATCAGCTGTTCATAGTATTATTATCTTTAAGTGTTGCCAACCTATTTCCAAGCGTACACGGATTACGTGCATAATAAAACCACGCTGTTTTGTGTTGTTTGGTTGGAATCCTGATGTGCGGCAAAGTATAAACCGTGCGGCAAAGTATAAACCGTACGGCAAAGTATAAATATGCAGCAATTAGCAGCTTTCTGTACTATAAACAGTACAGGGAAGCCAACTTTGTCGGGTGACTGTAGGAAAAAGCTATTTATTATATTCTACAGCGAGCTGGTCTAGTGGTTAGAGCCCGGTCCTGGGTTCAAATCCCGCCAAATCACCAATGGATTTTAAGTGATCTTGCCGCAACCCCTTGGTCTAGCCTGAAGTAATGTGAAAAACAATACCGGGCTCGTGCCTAGCGTCTTAGTACAAAAAAATATGGACCCAACAAATCGTTCTCCTGTTAGAATAACAGGAAACAACTTGAACAAGGGCCAGTGTTGAGTAACATAAAACCTTATCAATCGAATATGTAGACTGTAGAGAACATTGAAAAGTGTTTTACTAGTATAAAAGCTTTCGTTTTACATTTTATGATAAAACGGACCAGATGGGGGTACTTGCGCAAATGCCAATTAACAAACACAATGAAATTTAAAAAAAAAATGCCTCTTACACAATACAATATAGCTTGATATAAGCCCAAATATCGTATGGTTTTTGAAAAAAAAAACAACAATTATTTTCTAGATTGAAAAACGGAAATGAAATATAATCTTTTCACGCGTTGTTTTTATCAAAACAATACGATGAACGCCCCTTCATTTTATCATCGAGCTTTGTAGTTTACATTACTTAGTTGTGGCTGTGCTTTCGAGTATTTGAAGGCGCTCCAGAATTGACCTTCAAGACCTGAATTAAATTGAAAAAAAAACAATTAATTGTTGTAGATTATTTTTATATTTTGATGTTACATAATAAACATAGTTTTATCCAACGATCACATAAGACCAATGGGTGATCGTTGGTCTTATGTGATCGTTGGTTTTATCCTAGACGTTGAGTACTAAAAATACACTTTTCACTTCGTTGTTTTCATGACCGTTTCATTGTCGAATGCTTCGAAATTAATATTAATTAACTACTGTAATTAATTATCGAATAATCTTTTTCTCTTATATTAGCGTAACTTGTATAGTATTTCCTTCGATATAATAGCTATAACACCAGAGGAAAAACAATCTATCTACCTATATATTAATAGGCAAGCATCTATATCTATCTATCTATATATTAATAGGCAAGCACGTTTCTTTAAAACCTTTTTTCTCAGCTTGTGTGCCTCGTGGGGTAAATCTACGCATACCGTTAGAAAGCTATTTTCCTGTAGGTGTGCAGAATCCCTTTATAAATTTAAATAGGCTCAAAGATAAGCACAAAAAATGAGTTTAAAAATTTTCAAAAATTAACATGGATCTTATGCGTTGCCATGCTGGTGACGAAATAACAACGAAATATAAACAGAAAATCAAAACAAATGGAAGAAACTCCAATCACATGTTTTATTTACAGTGTGGGGTGAAAATAGAGAAGTGAGTAAGTTTACATTACATATTTTTGGTCGAGTTTCGACCACTGGACGACCTCTCGTCTATATATTAATAGGCAAGCATGTTTCTTTAAAACCTTTTTTCTCAGCTCGTGTGCATCGCAGGGAAAATCTACGCATACTGATGGAAAGATATTTTCCTGTAGATGTGCAGAATGCTTTTAAAAATTAAAATAGGCTAACAAATAAGAACAAAAAATGAATTTGAAAACTACAAAAAATTAACATGGACCATATGGGTTGCCATGATGGTGACGAAATAACAACAAAATGTAAACAGAAAATCAAAACAAATGGAAGAAATTCCAATCACATGTTTTTTTTTTACAGTGTGGGGAGAAAATAGAGAAGTCTGTACATTAATTATTTTTGGTCGAGTTTCGACCACAGGACGACCACTAGTACTTATTTAATACGCAAGCAGGATTTTTGTGACAATTACTCCTCCGAAACTACTGAACCGATTGACATGTTTTTGATGTCATTGGAAAGAGCGTAACGTGAAGATGTGCAGGAAACTTTCTTTTTAGGTAAACAATTAGAGGGTGAGGCCCTGGGGCCCTTTCAGTGGCGTAACAGTATTTCCCCGGGCCCCCCCGCAAATATGTCTGTGGGCCCCCTACTACCCCTCCCATTCCCCACCACAGCACTATATATCACAACCATCACCACACCACAACTATCACATGACGTAGGTGACGGCAGGCATACGGCCTACACGATCAGACTGGCAGAGGATGGTCTCTAGCAATATCAAGTATTTACCTATTCTTCAACCACACGACCAGAGTCGTCCTTGAAACATATTTTATATTTTGTCACTGTCACAGTGATAATAAACTTGGGAGTTATGTCCGTGATTAATATATATGGGCTACTCCATTACTCCACCATTCACATTCATTACTAAACTCAACCAAGCTTCCAACGTTCCAACTATAATTTGAGTCGGGACCACGAAAGTTTGCAGTTGAGGGAGTAGCCTATTTACCATTTGACTTCAAATGAGCCAATGAGGGCAGTGCGGTGTTGCCAAATCGAATAATACCAGCTGTTTTAAAAATATTGTTTAGTATTTTAATTAGTGTCGTCAAAGGGCGATATGGCAACGTCGCACTAGTCTTGTGATTGGCTGCCGCCAACTGCAAACTTTCGTGGTCCCAACTGTAAATGTTAGTGCTTCACTAAATTAGCCCAATTTAATGACATGACACCTGATTGAGAAACTCTCGCGACATGCACTACTGACGAGTCACTCGCAATCCGCATGGAATGGATCTCCAAAATCAGGTGATCTACGGTCAGCTGAGTACACGTGAGCGGTTAGTGAGGGAGGGGGGAGGGCCGAGGGGCTGGCTCCGAGTGTGTGTCGCCACGGCGCGGCGGCAGGCAGGCACACAGCTCCTAGCGCTAGCATGAAGCTACACAACCATACTGACAATACACATCGTCGGGTGATCGTAGTGAGCGTTGGCGTTTCGTTAACAATATTGTTAATTAAAAGATAAAACTTTAGTAGATTTGGCAGAATAAAAATATCTACCAACACATCGTTTTTTATTTATAATTTGTTAGGAGAGAAAAACATCCGTGAACAAAGGATCGGTTTTACGGACGGTTTTATGAGAAAAGGGTATCTTAACCTCGCGGGCCCCTAAACCTCGCGGGCCCCCCCGCACCGCGGGGTCTGCGGGGGCGGCTGTTACGCCACTGGGCCCTTTAAAGTTTCGTATTTCTCCATAAGATTAACATGGGAAACAAACATTGTTTTGAAACTCCAGCTGTTGTCAGAAATTAAATATTACATTTGCTTTGGCATTTAAACGTATACAACCAGAACTGTCAAATGCCTGAAGAATAACACATGTTGTTAATTGTAAACAGTCAATGTGTAAATTATCTATGTTGTATTAAAAATGTGTATAGTTTAGGATGTTGGTTTGTGTTTAATGATATAAGTTATTAATCATTGCATTTTTATTTTAAGGATTTGGCATATGAGTATGCCTATGATAAATAACTCCATTTCAGAGTTCTGCCAGTTTTTGCCTAACTCTGTTCTGTAGAGTTTAAAGTAGCCTACACCCTACACCTACAAATTGGCTACATAACTTAGGTACGGTACATTATAAAATCTGACAGCCTTTTTACTTTGACTTAAATTGTAAGCTTACCTTTTCCCGTCCATGGACAGTTTGATAGTTAAACATTAACCCTTTAAACTGGAATAGGATTGTTATGTAAATTGTGAGTATTTTTATCAGTTAATAATATTTTAGTTGACTCTTTTAAAATCATCGGAATTTATGACTGTTATTAGTTATTAAACAAGTCATTTGTTTATTTGTAACTCCTCGACTCGTGTACTTATTTGAAATTGCTCGATTTCGAGCAACATGTACACTAGTGTTTCTTTAAAACCTTTTTTCTCAGCTCGTGTGTAACGCAGGGAAAATCTAAGCATGCCGTTAGAAAGATATTTTCCTGTAGAAGTGCAGAATCCCTTTAAAAATTAAAATAGGTAGGCTCAAATATAAGCACAAAAATTAATTCGAAATTTGAATTTAACATGGGCTATATGGGTTGCCATGCTGGTGACTAAATAACAACGAAATGTAAACAGAAAATCAAAACAAATGGAAGAAATTCCAATCACATGTTTCATTTACAGCGTGGGGTGAAAAAGATAGAAAACATTTTGAATGAGCTATATCAATTGTTATGGCCCATCAACTTTGTCAGGAACAAAAAGTAAGGTAGAAAATATAATTTAAGTCATGCTTTCGGTGAATGGCTCACAGAACTACAGTACAGTACATGTTTTTTTTTATAAAAACAAAATTGCGACAGCTGGTCCATAGAGATGGGATGTCTACTTCAGTATCCATTAGTCA